TAATATTCAATTGCTAAATTCTAGGTTCAGAGTGGATCAATTTGACTGAAATTTCCAGCAATTTCCCGTAACATTATCTAGTTTTTAATCATTATAGTGAGAACTGCCAGTTCTTTATCTAATCTCCCATAATGTATCTTTAATATACAGCCGGATTAATTCTATAATAATATGGCTTTATATATTTGCAACGTTTTACTATAATGTTAGTTTGTAAATGAACTGTTAGTTTTGAGTGGACTTTAGTATTGTGAATAAAAAAAAACCCTGTAACATTCGACGCATTTACAATACAGAAATTGCTAGTCTGTAAATGAACTGTTAGTGTTGACTGGACTTTAGTATTGTGAATAAAAAAACTGTAACATTCGACGTATTTACAATACATAAATTATTAGTCTGTAAATGAACTGTTAGTTTTGAGTGGATTTTAGTATTTACGATCCGGAAAATGTTAGTCTGTAAATGAACTCTTAGTTTTTAGTGGATTTTAGTATTATTAAAAAAATTCGACGTATTTACAATCCGGAAAATGTTAGTCTGTAAAATGAACTCTTAGTTTTGGTTGGATTTTAGTATTATGAATAAAAACATTATCATTCGACTTATTTACAATTCAGAAAATAATTATAAAATAGTATACAAATTCTTTGTATATCTGTAAAATCTAAGATTTTATGTAACATAGTAAAAAAAAAATAATAAGACAATATTTAAAGTTTCCCAGCATATTATTACAGCATATTTATAGTGCGCCCTTTCAAGTTTCATATAACGTGTTCAGGGGCACTTTACAAAGTGACAATGTAATCTATAATCATATAAACATACCAATAAAAATTACGGATGGCGGGCCTTTTCAACCATAGCGCCATAACTATGGAATAACCTCCCACAACATCTTCGTCAGCAAAGGGAACTACGTTAATTTAAGCGTGGTCTTAAAACCTATTTATTCAGCAGGCAACTTTTACCTTAAAATGTTTACTTTGTACCTTATAATAATTGTATGGCTTTTATAATTAATGTTTTAACTTAAATATCTCATTTTATTTCTCATCATTTTCATTTAATGTTTTAACTTATGTCTCATTTTATTTTATTTTTTATCATTTATATAGGTATCTTATACATTACATTTTATGTCTATCAGTTAACTTTTAACTCTTGTAAAGCGTTTCTGAAACGAATTGTGCAGAACGCTATATACAAATAAATTATTATTATTATTAAAATAAAAAAAACCCCAACAAACAACAGATGGACCTGTTAACATTTGTATACGGATTCAGTTAAAAGCGTGTTTAAATAACTATGTACATCTTAAACTAATAGTAGATTATTCCATAAAATGGGCGCGTGGAAACTAAAAGAGCGATTACCATGCGAGACTAGTTGAACAGTTTTGGGCTTTAGAGGTAGTTTATCTGATGTACGTAATGTTTGGCCAGGTGTATACATTTCTAAAATTGGAAAATTGGTACACCTTCAATGATTTAGAGCTAGGGTTAGGCCATTCATGCTTTCAAAGGTATTTTGGGCAAGAAAGAAGCCCCATGGAATTAGAAAGTGGACCTGGCAGTACCGATACAATCAATCTAGAAACCTTTTATAAAATGATAAATAAACATTCACCTGGTTATTCAAATAATGATTCCCCTACAAAATAAATGACAATGAAAACTATTCCTTGGTATATCCTATATTTAGTAAACAACGTCGACAAATTATACTAACAGTACCTGGACACTTGATAATAACAAATTCTGTTTATATGGAAATATCTATTTTGAGTATAATAATGAATAACTAAATATACATAAAATGCACCCCCTTTTGTGTGTGTTTATTTAATTTGTTTATAACCTTTTTTTTCTTTTAATAATTCTTTTTTTTAGTTTTACCCCTCTTTTTATTAATTTTTTTTTGTAAGTATTTTTTTAAAATTATTTTCTCCCTTTTTATTTTTTTTTTCTCTTTTTATTATTTTTTTTCATTGAAAGTCATATATAGATCTTAACAATCTCTCTCGCCCTTTCTTTTTAATATTTTTCAAAATTATTTTCTCTCTTTTTTTTAATTATTTTTGAAAGGCCATTATATAGATCTTATATATCTCTCTCGCCCCCTCCCCCCATCTAATATAATTTTAAATATATATATATATATATATATAATGATTTCCCGATAAAATAAAGAACACGCCTTCTTGGTATATATTTACCAAACTATATTTACATTAAATGGACACTTGATAACTATTCAATTATATCATACATAGAGATATCTAATTCGGGTATAATACAAATGAGTAAATGAATATTCAATAAGATAGAATCCTTCAATAGCTTATTAAACCGTTTTAACGTAAAATGTATCCTTTTTTGTGTGTGTTTCTCTAATTTGTTTATAACTTTTTTTTTCTCTTTTTAATTATTTTTTTAAAAATATTTTTCCCTCTTTTTAATTTTTTTCTCTCCTTTTCTTCATTGATTTAGTATTTTATTTATGTAATCTGGCTATAATAATTAACCTTTCATTAATCTACATAGTCTTCCTGGTATAATCTAACAATAGTGCAATACAGGAGTAATGAGAAGAAATAAATGTTCATAGACCAATTATGTAATCTGGCTATAAATTTAACATTTCATTGGGATTTAAATTTATTCTCAAGTAAACGGATAATTAAAAATATATAATGAATTGTAGGATTTAAAATCTGCTTATACAGAGCCGAAGTAAAAAGTGTAAAAACATAATATATTAAGATTTATTTAAATATCATTAGAATATTAACAGGGGAAATAAAGCATTTAAGCCTGGAAAGAACCGGTTAATAAAGTATGATTCCATATACCGTCTTTTGATTGTATTGTCAATTTCGACTTTATAAAAGGGACAAATATTAAATTTAATATTTAAAGACTTAATGTTTAGAGACTTTCAAAACAGGATTAGTCTGTATACTAATTCTATGTACCGCATTCCCCGGATATAAAATTCATTGCATTGGTTACACACAAGAACATAAATTAAATTTTAAGTAGTACAATTCATATTATCATTGATTCTAAACGTATAATTAGTATTATAAAAAAGTCAATTTACTATTACTAATCATATGATGGCAACATTTACAAAGTGGGCTGTGGCACTTAGAAGTAGAAAAAGTCACATTACTAGAAGTCTTATATTTCTCTGAGAGTTGTTCAAAGAAACTTTTTGGGTATATTTACATTTATGTATATATTATATATAAAATTATGCTTTCTCCCACTACTGGGATCATCAGGCATTCAATAATAAGATAGTAAAAAATTACATGACGTCATGGCGTTATTATAATAATACATAATAATAATATAAAATATAAATATTTTAGTATACATTAAATAATATAAAATTATACTGCATTTGGGTGATACTTCTTAATAAAATGTCGTTCTTTACTTTCTAGCAAATCATTATTCAGCCATTGGGTTTATATACTATTCAAAAAAAGTAGGGGATATTTGATTTTGGGGGCATTATACTAAAATATGCAAATGACTACGAAAAAAGTCACTATAGAACCTAACAGAAGAAACATTTCCAGTTACATGTGACGCCCAAACGCACCAATAGCTACCGCATGGAATGCAGGTGATGCTTGGGATCATCATGGGGGTCCAACCCAAGATTTGCACGACTCTGACTTTGAATGTTACAGTCATTGTGGCATTGAATTCCAGGGTGGAAACATCAGTTTAATTGTTTTAGTGACCAGAAAATAAATTTTGATATGCGTCGGCTTACCCAAAATGAAAGGTTACGTGCCCTTGGCATGCTACAGATCGGCACAACACAGGCGGTTGTGGCGCGGACGATGAATGTTTCTCAGTCTGTCATAAGCAGGCTATGGTCCAGATACCGTGATACACAATCTGTACAGGACAGACCACGCTCAGGTCGACCAAGGGCGACAACTCAAGCCCAGGATCGATTTATCCGTACCTTGGCCTTGAGAAATCGTGTCATCACAGCAAATCAGATCAGCGCTCGTCTTCAAACAGACACTGGTGTGAGAGTGAGTGGCCAGACGATTCGGAATCGACTGCATAGGGGTCACCTTCGCGCCCGACGTCCTCGCGTGATCCCTTGTTTGAGAGATCATCACATTCAGGCAAGACGTCGTTGGTGTAGAGATCGTCAACACTGGGATAATCGACGCTGGAGCAATGTGATGTTTTCAGATGAGTCAAGGTTCACTGTTGATTTTTTGGACAGACGTAGGAGGGTGTGGCGTCGTCGAAACGAGCGCTTCCAAGACGGTAACGTCATCAGACATGATCGATTTGGGGGTGGTTCTGTTATGGTGTGGGGAGGCATCACTGTTGCTGGAAGAACGGCTTTACATGTTGGTGCAGGGCGTGTTACAGGCCAGTACTACCGGGACAACATCTTGGCAGTCCATGTTGTGCCGTTCGCACGACGTCATGGCCGCCGTTTCATCTTCCAGGATGACAACGCAAGATGTCACAGGGCCAGGATCGTTACAGGTTACCTCCAACAACAGAACATCACCACATTACCTTGGCCAGCACTGAGTCCCGACCTCTCCCCCATCGAGCATGTCTGGGACATGCTTGGACAGAGGTTACGTCAACGTCAACAACGTCCTGCCAATGTCCAAGAACTTGCTGCTGCGTTGCAACAGGAATGGGACAATCTGGACCAAAATGACCTTAGACGTCTCATTAGGAGTATGCCACGTCGGATCAATGCTTGTTTGGCAAACAGAGGAGGATTTACCCGTTACTGACTTGGTTGTGATGCTGTGGTAATTTTGCTGTTTGACCCCGGGTATAATTTTACCCTTATAATGGTCAGTCTGTGCCTTACTTAGTCTAACGATCATTTGGAATAAATCGATGAATGTGAACTTCATTTCATTTTGTCATTTGTTTCTTCGTCAGTTTCATTAGGTGACTTTAATAACACTTAAAAATCAAATATCCCCTACTTTTTTTGAATAGTATATAAGGGGAATATATGTATATATGTGTGGCAAATTATTATCCAGTCAGTTGGGTTTATATAGAGAATATATGTATATATGTGTATATTTTTTCATTATCTTCTCAATCAATGTATTGCTATTATTTTCGCATTTGAAAGTTAATCGATTTGTTGCTCTAAAATTATACGAAACTAAATGGCGCGGGAGCAGATAAGAATTTTAAAAATATATTTTTAACAACGTTACAATAAACGGGTTATAGTATGAAATGCCGAATATAGACGGGAAAATAACTTTTAATGTGCAATTCAAAACACTCGTCATTCGTATTGTGAAAATTACGCACTTCGTGTTTCAGTAATCACTTCTTGTCAAAATATATTTAGATTTATTTTCTTGAAAGATTATGTAACGGAAATTGGCATTGTGAAAATCAGGACATCAAAATCACTTTCGATGACTATCTCTAGAACTGACTCAATTCCTCATATAATTTAGGTAACGTTTATATGCAAAGCTTCAAGGTCTTTACTGTGTGCATACGAGCACATAATTGCGGACATCGATATCGAATATAAATCCCGGTCCAATCGTGTTAGTAAACACGATGGCGGGTGTCATAGCTGCTAGAGAATATGAGCAAACTAATACTTTTGATTTTACTACATTTCATTCTCCAGATTATTTTTGTCGTCATTAACGATGTTTATATCATTCAACAATCATACAAAATCATGAAATCAAAAACATGTTTAAACCGCTTCGGTAGTATTGCTGTATTATCACAGATAGTTGTCTAATTTTGCATTTCTTCATTGTATTTAAATACAGGTTGGTCATAAAATACCACAATATTGCACACATATATAGAATCATTATTTCTTGGGACAGCTGCATCAACACATTTGGACTTGGGCAACGCAACATATATGTTAATGTTATGGATCATCATGCCAACCTAACTCCGATTCTGCTGACAGAAAATTCAGACCTGGATTTTTACGGCAGCATAGAATAAAATCCATCTTAAAATTATATTCCAACTTCCGACATTTATACTAAAACACATCTGAACTTGGGAAGAGATGATCGTAGTATCCGTAGAAGTTGTCTCTGAATCATCATGATATTGGTCAAGGTCTCCGATCCATTTGTGCTGATTAGTTGATACCGATTTTAATTCCAGAATTATGACACAACACTGCATTACAATTGAAAGGAAATATATTTTGCTGCCTTTATGAATCTGCTTCATAATAACTATATTTGATAATCTTTAGTTGTATAATCAAACTACAAATGTTATTAATGACACGCTATTGTCGTCAGCCTTTTGAGGTACACATTATACACCGTTTGTATTCTTCCGAAACGCGCTGGGGATTTATTACTGCTGTAAAACTCTTCTCCATTATTTTTGTTGATTAGATGAGATTCAATTATCAGCTTTTCGCAAGGCTCGTCCCAGAGAACTTACTAGAATATAGTCTAAATAGTCAATAATCAACACTTTGGGAAAGTCGCCACACGAGTTCTCCACGTTAAAAACACAGGACATTTATAAATTAAGATGCCAAAGTAAACATTATGCCCTGTTGGTTTAAGAATCCACTGCTACATCAGTAATAATGGGTAGCTCTACAATCCCTATCGCATCTTGTCCTACCAAGATTTTCCCAAGTCCCAAAGTGACCTAGTTGTGTTGACGAGGGTTTAAACTCCACCTATTCGTTCTTTCGAATATGATTTTAGCCAACACATAGCAAGGTTAATCTATAAGATAGGAGAAAAGTGAAATTTTGTTGATCCAGGAAAGTGATTCTTCAACATTTATCCAATATAAAAATGGAAAGAATTCAAAATGATAGCAAACTTTCATTTTCAAAAGTACAGAGCACTTTATGAGGATAAGTACGAACGGAGAAAAAAACACTTCGAAAGTCACAATAGATAGACAGAAAAAATATCCTAGTAAAACAAGACAAGATAAAGACTGCTTGATCTAGCGCAATTATCCCTGATTCATAACAGTCGTTCTTATACTAACACAACTTAACAGATACATTATTCTCTTTTTCTGCTTTATTTTCTGATAGCTGAGGTCCATCATCAGTTGATACCAGACAAGCGTCAGGCTGGACTGACTCGTTGGATGGTCTCTTTAACAATTTTGTTGTTGCGGAGTGGGCGTGTGCAGTTCGAAATAATCCTGTTGATAAATGGGATGATGACTTGTCTTCTTCAGTTCGTGAAACATGTTTTGTTTGCTCAGATGTGAACGGGATTTCTGTAGTTCGCGAATCATCGTCTGACATCAGAGAGTCTAATTGGAGTTTGTTTGTGTGTCGAGTTGTAGTTGGTCTAGAAATGGCTGCTGTTTCATTAATTTCTGGTGAACGATCTTTGGTTTGGTGTTCTGGGGATTTGTTAACACTAGATCCATGTTCAATAATGTCTACAGTATGAACTTGGGCAGATGTGTTATCGGTAAGATTGTTTGCCGATGAATTGGTTACTTGCCTATTGTTTAATGGATAACACTTTGGTATTGCTCCAGTTTGTATTAATTGTTGTCGGGTACGACTGTTTAAATGTATCGGACCACGGCTTCTTAGTCTATTCGAAGCTGAACCAACCTTAGAGTCTACTGTTTGCAGCACATTTTGAGCTATATGATTTGACAAAATACGAGCATCTCCTACTTGGGATTTACCATATGACTTACCTCCAGTTACAGTTCCTACTTGCGGGTTTGCCGTTTGCTTATATGAATCAGTGAAAGATGAAATACTATGTTTGGGGTTATTGGAAAAGCTAGTTTCATATCCTTCATCGCCTCCATTTGATTTGTTCGTTATATGTTCCGTTTTTACTACCCCATCTTCTAACTGATTTTTGAGATGTACACCTTTGTGTAACTCATTTTCCCCACCACCTTTGTCTAACTCATTTTCATCACTATTCTTCAAATGTGTGTTCTTGTCTAACTCTTTTCCATGGCTTTTCTTGAAATGTGCGCCCTTGTCTAACTCATGTTCACCACCATTCTTGAAATGTACATCTTTGTCTAACCCCTTTTCACCACCATTCGTGAGATTTACACCTTTGTCTAACTCGTTTCCGTCACCTTTCGTGAAATGTGCGTCATTGACTAACTCCTTTTCTCTGCCATTCATGACATTTACTTCCTGGTCTAACTTTTTTTCTCCGCCATTCATGACATGTACCTCCTTGTCTGACTTCTTTTCTTCGCCATTTATGGCATGTACTTCTTTGTCTGACTTCTGTTCTCCGCCATTCATGACATGTACCTCCTTCTGTAACTTCTTTTCTCTGCCATTCATGACAAGTACTTCCTTGTTTAATTCCCTTTCTCCGCCATTCATGTCATGCACATCATTGTCTAACCCCTTTTCTTCGCCAATCGTGACATACGCATCCTGGTTTAACCCATTTCCTCCACCTTTGTCTTCCTCTTTCACTTCTTCTGTTTGAGTTTCCGCCGTTTCTGTGTCACTTTCATTAATAAATGACATTTCTGGTAATTGTCCTAACTCTTTCTCTATCAAACTCACCCTGTAAAAAAATTGGAGCAATTATGTAATTATGATAGTCTATATTAAACAGCACATGCAAAGGGCGCGAATAAACTATTACACATACATGACTTCAAAATCCACACGGGTGACGGTGCTGAAGAGCATACCTATTTTGTTTTATCCACAAAAGTACAAAGCAAAATTTGTTAGCCATGTTGCTCCCTAAAATGGGAAGCATCATCAGAATTATATTTGAAATAGATAAATAAATGACCCCCCCCTCCCCCGCTTCTATTTAGTAGATAAATCAAAATCCATATACTCACATGTTCTTATGATCTGTCACTGTCTTTTTGAGAAGTCTGAAAAATAAAATAAAATAAAATAAAATAAAATAAAAATAATAAAATAAAATAAAATAAAATAAAATAAAATAAAATAAAATAAAATAAAATAAAATAAAATAAAAAAATAAAATAAAATAACAACATAACATAACATAACATAACAAAACAAAACAAAACAAAACAAAACAAAACAAAACAAAACAAAACAAAATAAAATAAAAATTACTGCTATGTGAAGCCAGCCACACTTATAAAATTTGAGAATAATTGGACAACAGTGGACATTATATAAAGATATAAACTGATTAAAAATTTCTAATTACCCATAAAAATGACATTAGATTAAGCTAAGCCCAGTGGCAATTTGTATGTTCCCAAAGCAAAGGTAACGAGCATAGTCTGGTTATTAATAATTGCTAAACGTACTACTGTAAAATGGCGTTCGGAACAGGTTCTTATATCAACTTAGAAGTGTCGTAAGCATAAAACGTACAGGGCAAATCAACCGAGTGTTACTACTTAATACAGTTAAGTCCCAATTTCTCTGCTTATGCCACCTGGATGGTCGAAATGAACACAAATTTTCCAAAAGCTTAATCGATGCCCGTTTAAGTGATGTATAACATTTAGTGCCAAGAACAACATACCAGAGATTGTGTCGACTACTTTGGGAAAGAACCTAGCAGACCAACAATTGATATTGAGCTCATATACAGAATGTCTGATTTTCCCTGTAGTATTTGTCAGCTTTGATGCGCAGGGTACGTGTTGGGGGTGGGGCCCACCGGGTGTACGTCTAAATATCTATATACGATGCATTATGAAAACAATCCCCCAAATCGGCACAGAGCTGTGGTATGATAAATATGCTGGTTACCAATGCTTGTCACTAGTATTCTGTGGTTCATCTACGTAGAACATGTGCTGGAGCTATCTCTGCGAGTATAGTCAATATAATTAATCCATTAATAGCAACGGGTTTGGAATTCATATAATAAATATTACTATTTAACCTACCAGATATTTATTATTGATTGATTGTAAATAAGTATTCGTGAAATTAGACCAACAATTTAACATACCAAGGTGAAATTAGACCAACACTTTAACAAATCCCCGTGAAATCAGACCAACAATTTAACAACATTATAATTATATGATACCCTTATAGGTAACATGGAGATGAGTCAATACAGGCCTATCCTGTTCCACAATCCTTTTTCAGATAAAATAAGATATTGTTTATGAAAAAACCTACCCCTTTGACTGGTCTATTGATCTTAACTTTGAGCTTTCGATAGTAATATATGGTGTTGGTAACGATCTGCTGGCCTTAATGCTGATTTCTTCGTATCGCTCTGGTGATCGCCTATATAACAGGAAAATAATGTAATGATTAAAATTCGACAGTTTAAAGCCACCGTCAGAAATGAAAAGTGAAATGTGATTTGCTTTGAGCAATATAGTATTCTGATCTAAGATTATAGGAGCCACGGTGACTAGGTGGGTAAGACGCTGACTCGCTAGCCTGGAGGTCGGGTGTTCGATCCCTGCATTGGCCGAGAAAGTTCATCGGAATTTTCCGGCGTGGTTTCCCCTTGTCAGTGGTGCAGGACGGAGGGCCTGACAAGGACAGCTGTCTAGTCGCTCGGATTAGGCGAAAATCCGATGTTCAATGTATACATTGGCGTGCACGTAAAAGATCGCTTGGCAGTTGGAATTCAATACAAGAGTAGGCCATAGTGCTGCTGCCGACCACAGCTATATTATGTTCATGTGGTCCACGCTTTTGAAATAGATGTACTTTTATTTCAGTATATATATTATCTTAAATAACCAAAAGACTTTATTAAACAGTCACCTGTGATTTCTACTGTGTGAACCCGTGCACATGTATCGCATAATCTGAAAAGAAAATTCACATGAAATACTATATAATTTAAAATAATTTTGTTCCTCGTTACCATGGTCATGTTTTACTATCATATATATATATAAATATTCTATATTTTGCAGATAAAGCACTGTTTGGAAAGAGACAGCTGTATGTTATCATTGCGTTTTATAAGCAATGATTCATGATTCAAACAGGTAAATAATGCGATGCAAATCCGAACTACAGCAATAAATATTCGAGGAGTTACTCGGTAACAAAATAGAACAAAGGGCAGATAACAAGCAATAGAAGTACCTCAGTGAAGACATTTTTGCATTGAGCCCTGGACTGCTCTAATTTTTTTAAATCAGCTTCCAATACGACCATTCGGGCCACACCGTCTTTATGCAACCTAATAAATACAATTAATGTCATAAGTACTGTATTCATTTATCAAAACATCCCTTTATATATTAAACTTTGTAGCAAAACAAAACCCGTTAGTAGAAGCATTAATGGAAAAGAGATGACCTCTGTCCTACTATCTATGATGTTAGATAATTAAGGTGATTCCGGGACAGCAGTCGCGCTCGCGATTCAGGCTATAAACTACTTCTAATATTGACCAAATGTCCTGTATGATGCACACAATATACACAAATGCAGGGTCAATTCTTTTGAGCAATTTTTGTGCATGCCGTCCTTTGATTCCTTTACAACAAAGCATTAACTATTTATGTTCAACCAACCAAATTATGACATATGTAATACGAAGGTTGTGGAACGGTGATTTATTTAAACGGTTTTTAAAATCGGATAAAAATTGTGACCTCTAGAGGATCCACAACCCTGGAATTACATACTTTTACACGATTTGCGTTCAAAGAGCGGCCATTTTGTCGAGCAGTTTGGTCCGATTTTTTACGAAATTCAAACTCAATCACCATCCGGGTGTAACGATAATATATTTAAACGATTTTTAAAATCGGATAAAAATTGTGACCTCTAGAGGGTACACAAGCCAAAATCGCGATATTGTAGTTCAATACGGGGCCATAATCCAAGAAGTTACGGTCCGATATCGACAGGAACCGAGGTCGTTGGGTCATCAAAATCGGATAAAAAGTGTGACCTCTACATTGCCCACAAGCTAAAAACGTGATTTTTCGTACAATCAGGGGCCATAATCCATGACGTTACGATCCGATACATGCCAATATCGAAATGAATCGATATCTTTTGAAATAAACCTATATTTCAAGTTTCGTCAAAATCGGATAAAAATTGTGACCTGTAGAGTGTCCACAAACAAATTTTGAACAGATGGAAGTCCGGACGGACAGGGGCGAGACAATATACGTCCACATGAAAATGTGGTCGTATATGAAAATGTGGTCGTATAAAAAGAGAGAGAGAGAGAAATGGAGTTTAACGTCCACTCGACACAAACTAGGTCATTTCAGGACTAACATATGGTTTAATTTTATTTCAATAATTCGCTTGCGCGTAGGGGTCTTTAGCAGTGGGAGGAAACCGGAGGACCCGGAGAAAACCCACGAGGTTGGACAGGCGACCCTACTCCTTGTCACGTACAACCGGGGATTCGAAACCACGCCAGTCGACTCAATGACACACTTTATGATACAGCGCGCGCACGCTAACCATTCAGCCATCCAACCCCCCTCGTATAAAAAGATAGGTGGACCCAGATAAGAGCAACAAACTAACAATGACACAATTACGGAATATAACACAAAAGAAAACGAAAACGAAAAACGGCTGATTGATTCCATTGATTGATTCGACCCTATCAGTAGCTAAATAAATCAAATTTGAACAATAAGATGTGGACTGGATCTCGAGAATAAAATTTAGCATCATCTATCCGGAGGATAGCTAAATTCTAAGTGCATAAATAGTGAGTGACAAATGTATATAGTAGTGATCGCACTTTATCAGCGGAACGTAAAAACAGTATTTGACAGCCTCATGGCAAAGTTGTATAAACTTACTGCTTATTTCGTGAATATTCATTCATGGCGAGATTTCGCTCTTTTGAACACGGTGTTTGCCACAAAAACACACATCTTGCTGTTAATTCTTGTATTTCAGATCTGTAACAATAAGTTTTAACGAGACCTGGCTTTTATAATATCTTAAAACTTAATCACATGTAAGTGTTATGGTCATTGAATCAGACCATTCGTTTAATTATCAAAGTTTAAGAATGGTTTAAAAATGATTAAATATAGAAGTATTGGTATGAATAATGTTACTTAAAACACACTTAAGTTCATAATACCAACTACTAACTTCATTATTAATAATAACGTCTCATAAGTGAATAACACAAACTATAACTAAATAATAATATCGACGCTTATAGGAATAACATAAAGTATAAATTAATCCCTTTAGGGCGTGTTGGAAGTTTGGAATAAGAGAATAATTAAATATTAATTAAATTGTTTATAAGATCACCAATTTCTAGAACGATTGGAGGTGGGAAAAACGAAAACTTTTGAATAAATAATCGTAAATTGGTCTCACAATTACCAAGGTATTCTGTTGGCAAGACATTATCTCTTTCTTTTCCGTTAGAGGCACGTCGAAAACAAGTACGTCAATAAAACGAACAATTTGCCCTTGATTAATGCAAATCCCAATTTGTTGATTTCATCAGAAATGAGTATGAGAGCTAATAATATCTATCATCAAATACAACGAAAACATAGGTAAATATGTGCAGTGTCGGATCTAGATGAAGAGTGGCTCTAGGCTATTGCACCCCCCCCACCATCATGACTAGAGAAAGTGTGTTTTAAACTAATGCGCAAAGACTACGGTGCGTGTACGAAAAGTCAACGGAAGTGTCATGAATACTAATCACCGTGACCAGAGGCCCTTATATCGCACAGCCCTAGATTTCAGTCTTCCAAACATACTGGTAGAGGTTGAGAAAGAGGTTGGGTTTATTATCATGGGTTTAGAAAGCAAAGTTACAAAGTACAAAATACAGCAATAATGAGAAATTGCACCCTGCTGCGTCCACGATATACCTTTACTACCAATAGCCAAATCTGAGGAAATCAATATTTTCGAGTTTCACATTAATCAAAGACAAATTGATCCTAAAACTGATCCTTACCTACGAGGATGATGTCATACCGGAATATCTTTAATATGCAGCCCAGGGGGTCCCTACAAACTGAATCCTACCTGTCAGCATTTTGTTGTAATTGTTCATATTCTGTTAACACTTGCTTCTTTCTATTTTGCATTCTGTACAATACGTCTTTTCCTTTCTGCAATAGGGTGCCAACCAACGCACACCAATTGTTGTCAATCAAAGATGGCGGTGTTCCCCAAATTTCTTCAAAACTGCTGCTTAGTATTTCACCTTTTATCCTCTTTAGGCCACCATATAACTAGAAAATAAAATGCGGATTAAATAAAAGTAACGTTGTGTGATTTGCATTTTTAGGTCTGGAAATATCAAATTTCTCATGGCTTAATTCACGTTAATATGTCAAATGATTATTTAAAATTTAATTAGGAAAACAAAATGTCACACGTTAGATGATCTCCACGCTTGGATTTAATCGGATTAAAAACAGGTCCATCAATAGAAATTCAACTTTTACAATATTGTAGTTTGCAAGGGGCTTCTTGTATCGCTCAAATTAAGCTCAAGGACTTTATAAAACAAAATATATCAATATTATATAATCTGTTTGAACAAATTCGTTTATGTATATACTGCAGCATATTGTATAAATGTATATATTGTGAACCATTATAAATAGACGAACTACAATTACTGGGTACCGAGACGGTGAAATTTATATGGGGGGGGGGGGGGTCTACCTCCATTTAGATATTTAATGAAATAGAACGTTCACTACAGTTCTCCCAGTATTTAGTTTACTCATCGCTTGTTTGGTAAGTGGTAACATTATACGGTGACAAACTGAACACCCATGGAAGTACGATATCGATGAATTACATTTGCAGTGAAATTTGAAGACGTATTCTGCCTCATAGTGTGAAGATATATTCGTCTATATATCATAACCTTTAGTATTGAGTAGATACATTGGGATTACTTACCTCGGCAATGGCTTGGAAATTAAACAAGTTCCCTATCTCTGATCTTTGGCCATTTTGAAGACTTCTATCAAAAATAGATTTGATGGTGTCCAAAAAGAATTCTATTTGTTTATAACTATCGTGCCATTGTTGATATATCTTCTGTAGTCGTATATGTCGATGTAGTAAATCAGCCCTATGAGAAAAAATGGGTTTCTATTATTGCTCTCTACTTCAGTCAGTAACGATAACTGCGTTCTGGTTTTTTTTGCTTCACTTACAGATCATTGTTACAGGATAACCGTAGCAAAGATATATGTCTTAAAACAATATATTTGAAATGTGTTTAACCAATTATATCAAAAAAGTAACATTGATGGACATCAAAATTATCCTTTAATACAATATAAAAATAGTTATCGCCCTTTAGCCAATGGGAGAGAGAGAGAAATGGGGTTTAACGTCCACTCGACACAAACTAGGTCATTTCGGGACTAACATATGGTTTAATTTCATTTCAATGATTCGCTTGCGCATAGGGGTCTTTAGCAGTGGGAGGAAACCGGAGGACCCGGAGAAAACCCACGAGGTTGGACAGGCGACCCTACTCCTTTAGCCAATGGTCTATAATGCAAACTAAAATCAATATCAAAGTAAGTATCCAAAACGTTAGATTTTTTTTAAAACCCACTATAGTGACACAACTTACCATAGAGCTAACGAAACATAATAACAGCCGCTAATAACAGCTTGAGCTGCCAGCATCCTTTTATAAATATCAAAAATAGTATCACATTGACTGGTTGTTACTTGAATGTCCTCAGATATTGATGAGCCTACACGGAAACTTTCAAAAGGTTCTGGAAAAGAAATACAATCCAACAAATGAATTCTAACAACAAACCTTATAATTTACATTGGTGTTAAGCTGTTGTGTGGGATGACCACTATTTTCTTTAAAATTGTTTTCATTGTTAAAACCAGTGTTGGGATATTACCGATTGTGTGTTCCAACTTCGACACAATTTCAAAAACTAGAATTTATGAACAAACTGAAACTTCGACGCTTAATCTCCCCAAATGTATACCATAGAGTTTGTGCAGTTACTTAGAGTTAGCCTACCCTCCCAATAACCTTTAAAGGCTGAAATTGACTCTTTTTGTTTTAAACTGGAGCTAAACTGGAAAATTGCTTGAACCTGGACATCCGAAGCTATCTCGTAAACGATTACCATATTATACTTATAACCTTGGCTTTAATCATGTGGCTTAACACCGTTTGTTAGTTACGTGAGCTTCTCAAAAATTAAAATATGACATTAGGTGTTCCTGTGCAAGGAAATATAAGATTAATTACTAATTGGAGAGATAGTTTGGATTTTAGAAATCGCTGCAACCGATCTGGTACATACAGAAGGTAACCCCGAAGCAATGACCATGAGCAGTCACAAGTTCTGTTGGCTGGGTGATTTGCAAGCACTAAGTCACTTGTATCAATTTAAAACATTCCGTAGTCAATAAACTGTTTTTAAAGATACTTTCCCACGCAAGTATTTATCGGGTGGTTATTTCCAGTAACAGTATGGCAATTTTTGTATCTTATGTGGAAACATCCAGTGTCGCTACAAAAATACTGAATTCCCAGCACAACCCGACGATTAGGGATATCTGCTCGAGTGACGTCAAAGTTGCACGTCCAATCTCTCAGCATTGGGGAACGCTTTATGTATATGTTCATAAACTTGATAGTGAACGGACTAGGAAAAGATGGGAGACTTAAAAGTACAACAGTTTCTGGGATAAAAACAACGGAAAAGACGTGGGTAGTGGATAATCAGGCTTCGATATTGCTTGGACAGCGATTAAAGACAGCATCGTCTTGTATATGCAATGAATTCTCCCCCGGCTTCGAACCCGTTGCTATGTACCGCGTCAGTCAAGTTCCTTGCACAAATATGACTTGCCAATACAATTTTTGAGAAGGATTTGAAGCAAAGTTTTGATAGATTAATTATTTGAATATGTTTTTAGTCCAAATATATTACCAAATGAGCCAGTTTGTACGCGGGAAGGTATCTTTAAATATACACATATAATATAATATTTTGCTTCACTACACAATCACAAAAGACTATTCAACTGGCCGCGATTAGAGAATTGTTGAAACGGTGTCATTTATCACGATCTATTCAACTCAAGGTTCACGTACTGTATATAGGCCACCTATAGGGAAAAAAACCTTCGCAAGATCTTATCTGGGACCTGAACATTTATAGCTACGCATTGAAGTCCAAATGATCAAAGGTCATTTAGGGGTTAACATATGGTACAATTTTATTCCGAACTGTGGAGGGGGGCGGGAGGACAGAGAATGCATTTAGCTATGATAGCTCCGAGCCTGGTTTTCACCTTTTCCGAGGGTGGCTGTTTAGTTCAAGCGCCCGGATTGGACGAAGCATTGCGATCCGGTGTACAAATTTGCCTGAAGTGAACGATATCACGGATATTTAACATCTTACTCAAAATATGCATTTCAATTTTTTTGTGGTTATCATTGCATTATCAACACCAGAACAGCGTGGTTGGTTCTGGTCTCGTGATATATTACTACATTGAAGGGTGTAGTACACTAGACGGTATAAGGCCACGCTTTCTAGAATAGAATACCCGATACCATGTATTGTTCTAACCAAATGATTCAGTTTCATCACAGTCGATTTTCCATTTAACATATGCGGTGGGAGTATGTTTACCCTTTCATGAACACCTAACGCCACTTTCCAATTTTACTTTCGAACTTAATATTGTCCAATTAATCTTTTGGATTTGGATTTTCTTCAGTGTTATCACACCCTGTGGTACCAGTGCTACTTATAACAATTTATAGATCAAGCTCAAAGGAAGTAGGCCTTTTAAAACGATTAACATATTTGTAGCTTCCCGTCTGAACCGGTTTGACTTGGCTTTTTCCAGTGTCAATAACTGTTATATAATACGTACCAATTTAATGTGACATTTCGTTATTTAGAAGTAAATTATAGTGTTTTAGTCCTCAGAAGTAACGTGTATATATATACAGGTACTACTGATACAGTATTCAAACATCTACAACCTAGGTTGGCTTGGCGTGGGGTTAGGTGTTCTTGAAAAATTAAGTATATCCTGTCCTGTGCACGATATCATCAAAACAATAATCTAATCTCAAACTTGTCGCCTTGTTTAATTAGTATTATCTCATATATTGCAAGTCTTTGATTGAAACATCAACAATCCTTGCTTGACTTAACGATTGGCTAACACACTTTTTTGTGACCAATCAAACATAAGATACCAAATCAAATCGATATTAACCAGAAAAAAGTATAAATCTGGGACAGGGCCCTTATTCACGAAAACTTAAACTAAGATAAAATCGAAATTTTAAGAAATACTGCAATTCGATTGGCTGACCAGTAAAATCAATTTGCATATATCCAATGAAGTTGCAGTATTTCTTAAAATTTCGATTTTATCTTAGTTTAAGTTTTCGTGAATAAGGGCCCAGTATTATAGAAAAGCCTGTGAATACTTGTTCACCGGTTCTTCTTTGTTGGTTTTCGTCTTTTTTTTCTCTGACTGGAACGGAACAGTAGACATCTGTTGCTGGTCTGAGCTATCCAAATTTGATTGATAAGCGTAGCGCTTCCCCTATTCCCGCGAACGTCTCCTCAATTATGTTAAGCACGGCCCATGTTCTGTTCAAGAGGCCTGCATATCTCGACGGTAAAAACCCTATCGTTGCTCAAATGTTACAGTCGTTAGCGTGGTATAGTTCCGTGTGAAAGAAACTATTAAAGCAGCTAAATCGCTAACATTTGGGACCTAGGAATTGACACAAGTGGGTCGGAACTCATATAATACTGTAATATGAATGTATACAAACTGATATACATTCAATGGTTTCCGTTTTTACTCTAATTTCAAATCAGTTATGTTCCGCGAAATAAGCCAGCAGTCTCAATCGAATGCAAATTTCTATCGCCTGGTTATTCCAGTCTACATATGCCGTTTGGTTTAGTGCAATATGTCTAGCCTCGTTCCTCGAGTCTCTTGCTAGAACTGGGGCTGAAACGCATTATGGAACATGATTCGTGTACCAATGGTAAAAAGTTTATTTTGTCTTAAATATTAGATATCAGAAGCCCATCTTTTTCCGGTAAGATCACAGCATCAATGTTGATTTAAATTGACAAATAATTTGTGTTTTCAATGTTGAAGATTTTGGATGATAATGAGTTAGAGACATAGCTACTTTAAAAACGTAACGAAGTATTAAAAAATATATAACCAATTACTCTATTCAATCTAGTAATATTAGTAAATATGTACTAGGATTGGTAGGGTGACCCACCTTAAATAAATATCTCCATATATCTCGACAATTACGCCACAATATTTATATATATGCCAAGCCTCAAATCAGTTTCACACAATTATAGTCACTAAATAAACGATCATGTTGTACTTAATAAGCTATGACCATTAATCATGTATAAATAATAGACTGAAAACTGGTTCCAAGAGTCGTCCATAACATCCAGACACTTTTGAGTAAAAGATAGGTTACGTGCCCTTTGTTTTGAAATTAGCCTCGCTTAACCAGTCTATCGACCATTCTACGTCTGATTGACAGGTCGGGATAATCAAGACTACTTTTTTACGAAACATAACAGAAAGCTAGAACAAGAAATTGAATTTAGAAATAAGCACTTTAGACAACTCAACAATCGTTTTAAGAAGCTTGTAAAAGTAAAATGAAACTATTGCTAGTATCATGTTCCTGTCTAACCCGAGTGATTCAGGGATATTATTTGTACTAAACCAAAAGATGCCGCTCTTAACGGTACAGTTAATGACAAAGCGATTTAAAAAATGAAACGAACGTAATTTCTAAATCTGCTGTAATAACCAAGAAGCTTAATTTTACTGCTATTCAAAATCGTCAACAATAAATTTTTTACGGCTGTAATAGTTGATAGATTTGTAGAGAATTGCACGTGCCATGGCTATTTATAGTATCATACTGTCAGAAAGTTGGTCTCGGCACGCTTCAGTGGTAGTCTCGAACTATCAGCGGTGGACTGTATTTCTGTGAGTACATGGGTCACCCTAGGATTGGGTAAACGATGGTTTAGTACAACTAAACAGTGTGGATTTACTAAACGAAATGACTTCATAAAATACAGAATACGCCATCGGTCTAATTTTGTATGAAAATTGTTGACTTGGATATGTCCCTTAAATAAACTTATTCAAAGTGTGTTTCAGACTATGGTCTTTGCCCATTAAGGACTTTGATATGATATCTGAATTGAACCAGTAGACTTTTTACATTAACATTTGTCCCGTCACGATAGGCTTAATCTAAATAGAGACTTTGATCCACATAATAGTTTATACAAATTTATGGAGGTCAGACACTATATAAATGATGATATACATGACATTTTATTAAACATGTTTCGTAAATCTGAATAAATGAAATGGGGTTTTACGTCCGACTTTTCTGCTCCAACCGGGATAATGAAGACGGTTGTCAATGTGAAGTAAAGATTTTCCATGCTAATTAAATTCTACCTATACATACCTAGAGATATTCTGATTGAAATATTAGTCTCTGTATATTGTGTAGACATGACAGAAACTGGTTGGTTTAACTCTGTAGGTGGAAATGCTTCAACTGTTACCCTGCCTTTCAGAAAAACCGAGAACCGGTTCTGGTTATAGTACAATTTCTGGTGATCGGCTGGGATGTCCGTGTAATATGCCACACGATCCTTGAATTCGGCCAAACTTTGAAAGACATATTATGCATATACATTAGATGTCGAAAAGAATTAGAACTAAATTACCTAAAACTGATTTAATATACCAATTCTCTCCCTTAGTAAATTATATCATGTGTAAAACTTACGGCTCCTTACTTTTACTGTAAAAAGCGTTATTGTATAGTTTATGGTTTTCACCCAAGTCTTTCGTACCGTCCTTGGTGTATGTTGTTAAAACAAATAGAAAGGTTGTCTCCCCTTGTCTTACAATATTTATATGCACAAAAAAGCTACGTTGACTTCTTCTTTTCGGTCTGTTGGGATGTATGCAAAGGCCTGTTTTGTCCACAAAATAGAATAAACTGTCTTCCCAAACAGAATCACTGACATATGATGTAGACTTATAGGATAGGGTTATCCAACTTCATGTTACGAAAATTTAATAAAAAATATTGCCAATAGAAAAATAAAGGGGAATTAACCATTTATAAAATGACAGAAAGTTCTTTAGTAGAAAGAAAAATTAAAAACTTATAATTTATTTGTTGCAGCATGCCAAATAGAGAAATCTCGTTAAAAACATTAAGGCTTTGTGCTCAAGTCGAGCTAAGTAAGTTAAGGGGAAACAACTTTGTTTTAAATACCTTTTAGACGGGTCCATATAAAGCTGATGAATGGCCATATCATCACAATGGAGAATGAAGATGCATTTTAACTTTAAAACACGCGTGACACGATTCTTGTAGGTATTAAAGTTCCATTGAAATTTACGATCAGATTCCATTAATCCAACTAAAATGGGGTTAATGTGAGTTCGCAGATCACTGAAACAATAAGGGGGTTCACTTTTTATCCAAACAAATAAATAAATTAGCAACAGCTCCTATATGTATGTAGGCCTAGTTGATATCCATGGGAAATAACTATTGTAAACTACAAAATAGAGTAGGCCAAAGAACACTTAATTTCAAAGTGAGATACCTAATTCGACATTTTACCACTTCTGCCCGCCCACCTTTGCGAACGCCCAATTTCACCACTAAGGTCACGGGTCGCCAACAAACGATAAAATAAAGTTTTACCATGCTGGTAATGGCCTAGTTTCTACGAATTGGTGTTACTTTATTCGCAATTCCAAAAGTACTATTTATAACTTCATGAATAATTATATACAGGGCCCTATGAACTAAGGTTAATAAAACATACACAAGAAAACGTTACCTAGTCATATTACAGTGTGTGGGGATAGATCTCTGCCATATGATGTCGCCACCAGCTATGTATTGTGAACCCGATATAACACCCCGGGGTTTACTGAAGGTCATTTCATACCTAAAATAAAAGAGATTTTTTTTGTTCTTATTCGTCCAGCTGGACTAGTGACGAGCTGTCTTTCTTTGGTTGTATGGCCCTGCTTACTACAATCATCCAGGGACGAAGGCAACCATTAATCCTTCTACATAAAAATATATAAAGAAGAAAGCTGTTCGGACCACCTGGTATAATCATACAGGATGCATTGTAAAACTGCTTGGTTAAATACTTGTTAATTCTAATTTTTCGGGTTCCTATTTAAAAACCACTTATATAAATTCATAGGTAACTTTAATCTCCTTTCTAAATATTAAAGATAGTTAACTTTTGTCTAATACCAGTTATTTCGCAGTATAGATTTACACGCAGACCTGCACCTTAAATTAGTTAGTATAACGAACCATCTCCCTTTAAATTCGAACTGCCAACTGCCAACATAAACGCCGAGTCTTCACTGTATGCCTGGCCCCACATGCTGATTGGCATTTTCGCGCAACGGGATAATTACAATAAAATATCCAAGTTGCCTGCTAACAGATATCCAAATTATTTCCTTAATTTAGGATTTCATTTTGTTGCGGATTCCGCGGTGGCAACTGACAAATAACTGCTGACCGACTTATCAGCCAATAAAATCGCATTTTGAATTCTTCTTTGTAAAGTGGTATGTTTTTAACGTTATAAAATCATTAATGGTTGTGAAAATAGAGTAATCATTATCGTTTATAAGAATAACGTCATGCTTAGTTTGTATGAAACCGAAAAGTCTTAAATGTTGTCGTTCTTGTCTTTTGAGGTATGGTATTGGCAAATGGCATACTATAATTTGATAAATTGCAGGTAAAGGTAAAGTTGCACTACACTTTTGATTAGGAACGCCTGACTGTGCCATCGCCTGCTTGGTCCATGCGCGGGCGTATTTGCGCATAGACCATGCAGGCGATGGCTTTATTCGCTGCCTCACTAAGAACTAGTATATTGACAATGCACAACACGCCATTTTTTTCTGGATTCAATTTGAGGTAGTATTATCGCATAAAGAGAAAAACATAATTATTGCTTACAGCTGTGTGGCATGGTATAATATTCATGTAATATTATATGCCTACTTCATATTACTCCATATTGCATCATATTACGATATTAATCAACAGCACGCACTCAGTTTTATGATATTAGAAAGAAACACACAATTATATGATACAAATGTAGAACACTTTATGCTGTGTCATTTAAAGATTATACATTATAATATTAAATATATACATTATATATTAATATATACATTATATATTAAATATATACATTGTATATTAAATATATACATTATATATTAAATATATACATTATATATTAAATATATATTTTTGTATACACCATTACTGGCTCTGTACAAGGCGTATTTTTATTAAGAGAACATAAATACATATCATACTTAATAAAAATACGTCTTGTGCAGGGCCAGTATTATATAAAAATCATACTTCAGTTATGCAATATTTAAATTATATATTTAATATATAAATATATAACTTAGATATCAAATATGTATACAGGTGTTTAAATCTACTAACATTGTTCGTCTATCGTTCCTGGCACCTTGATATGGTTTATACGGCATGTCACCGGTTATAGCTTGGTACAGTGTACAACCTAAAGACCACATATCTACTGTGTAGTTAAAAGTAATGTCAGCTTCCCTATTGATGAAGGCTTTCTGGTACATGGCCGGATGCTGAAAGAAATAAAATGTAGATAATATAATTTAAAATATGGAATATTAAATTTCGAAATCGTATATACGACGAGAAATAAATTATTTTAGAATATTTAAATTTGAAAAAGTAAAGCTGCATCCATGGTTAGATGTTGAAAAAAAGTTTTTGTCATAATATAATTTATAGTTAGTGTTCTTGGAAATATAATTTCTTGATTTAAAAATTCAATATTAAATTTAAAAATTTGGTCTATTGTTCAATGCCTTGTGTAAATCCTTGACACCGTCTTATAACACCATCTAGTTTATAAATGCAATATATGTATAAATCCGGGATATATAGCTATTGCATAGACGATTAGTATTAACTAGTATACTATGAATAGACATTTAATATAATAAACGGTAAGAATTATCTCCCTTAAATATTTGCCTAGCAATGTTGGTCTACTTTCTGAGGACGTAAAAGCGACAATCTAATATAATATAATAAACGGTAAGAATTATCTCCCTTAAATATTTGCCTAGCAATGTTGGTCTACCTTCTGAGGACGTAAAAGCGACAATCTAATATAATATAATAAACGGTAAGAATTATCTCCCTTAAATATTTGCCTAGCAATGTTGGTCTACTTTCTGAGGACGTAAAAGCGACAATCTAATATAATATAATAAACGGTAAGAATTATCTCCCTTAAATATTTGCCTAGCAATGTTGGTCTACTTTCTGAGGACGTATAAGCGACAATCTAATAAAATAATAATGTTAAAACCATTATATTTACCACGTCATTGAAATAAACACAACGGATTACAAACGTTAGTGAATACAATAAATGATAAAAACCCATTGGAGTTCCCTGAATAATAACGCCTTGCAATTGCATTGGCGCAATAGAGCCATTACCTATGAATACAATTCACTGAAAGGTGGTGTATGGCGTCATTATTCCATTATATTCTACATATCTATTTTTCGTATTTGAACAAATGTATTGTAATCGACTCCGTTTAGACTGTAGTTTTATTCATGTTTTACACACTGGGAAGTGGATGGGCGATAAAAAATATTAAAAAATCTGTATACAATACACTGTAATCCTGTAATAAAATAGTGTTCCATAGAAAATGTTTTAGTATGTTTCAATATCTACAATGATTATTTTATTGGGTATAGAAGTAAAGGAAACGTGAGATGGGATATTCCAGATTTCACAATTTTAAAGGAAAAAAGACGGCTTTAAAGGGTGTCTGGCTCTATTCTTCGGAACCTTAAAAGAGACGAAAATGGGTCTCAAAGCACATATTATTGTAATATAAACGTATATAATATAAAGTGATCGATATTCATTTTTTAAAAATTGTATTGTAATTTGTAATCTATTATAAAATACACGAACAATTAAATTGAACGACGGTCGTTTACGTCTGTTTAGTCCATTCTACACCTATTTAAAATTATTATCTTGTCGTTCGTTAATCCGCCATTACTAATTGCTTCCGCATTGTCTTGTCGGATATATTTTTCTTTGTTCATTACAAATGGCGCACGAAAACATAGAATACACCACTCGTGTACTGATTATAAAATGTGTCTTACATATTAGATATTTTCTCTGCAAGATCACAACACCAATATTGATTGAAATGAACAAATATTGAATTCTTATTGGTTTTTTTTAATTATGGAAAATATTGAGTTATAGGTTTCGCCCCCTTTAACAAATCCACTTTTAGAAATAACCACTAGAGATAAGCCATTTCCTGTTGCGCAACATTTAAAGGGGTATTATTATCTTTTTTACCTAGAAAACTAATGTTATTAATTTCATGTTCCATATAATATCCAATCTAATCAAATACAGATCTATATTTCTGTTCATGTTTTTTAATATTTCAATGGCCTCCACTAAATGAAGTTGTAATTTTGAACAACGAATAACGAAACGAAATGATCTGAGATTTAATCCGATTGTGTAATATCCTTTCTGGGCTAACCCTAAACCAGCATTATTATCCTAAATCGCCTTAACCGCCAAGGAAAGAATTTCCCTTTAAATTATAACAAAGGATAACATTTCACAATCATATTTCAACATAATATCCATTGACACTGAGTAAATGGGCATATTTTTGTTAAAACTGATGTTTCTAAGGGCAATAATCAAGTGTGTATAGGCGAGTAGGGACAGATTTGAGTTTCATTAACGCAAATACTTCAGGCTATTGGGGAATATTTAATTAAGTTTTTGAGGCGTAACCCCGCAATCGCAGGTGTGACCTGGTGTTAACAAACAATGTAGATAACGTAAATGTGAAATCGGAAATCGAATTCTGTCTTATGGTTTGGATTGTTCGTACTTGGTTTTATTTTATCCCCATGTATGTTTACTCTTGTTGCCATTAAACAATCTAATTGGACAGTCTGAACATTACTCGGCCAAAAGTTTAAAAGGAGTTGATAACCAGTAGCATATATGTACCCCCCTCCACCCGCTTTAACATTTTGATCGGTTTTATGGTTAATTTGTATTCATAGGATGATGCCATTTCCTTTACTGTCTTGGTTCATTGGACCAACCTTCAAGACTTGCGAAGCGAGATATTCGAAGATTCGGCGTAAATATCCTCTTGAAACATTTTTTTTTACGTTATTTTACTTTCAAAGAGTACCATATTGCAAAGGAACCGGGCCATTGCAAGAAGCTGCACCATTGCTGCGACAATACCGTATATAGGCTAATATTGTTAATGTTACGTGTTTGTATTAACTTTAACTCTATAATTAGATGGAATGGGGTTAACGTCTCGTCGTTTTAAAAACATACGGTTATATTTTCGATGGTCATGTATGCAATGGAAGGTTGGGGGGGGGGGGGGCAGACAGTTTTATATGCACACGCACGTCAATGTATTATACTTGTTGAATGTTGAACATGTAGTCTGTTATAATCTTTAATAAAGAAAGTGTCACGTTAACAATTTTTGTGTTTGGCTACATGTAATATAAAAAGGCCGTGTCATTTGAACTTTAGGCAATCGATCACTTATTGATATCAATTATTGCGAAATATCTCTGTGATATTTCATAAAGTTTTCTTCATATCGCAATATGATTGAAATCATTTGTAATATGTAATACGTTGACAGCAAACATATTTTCTTTAAAGTTCTGAATACGTATAAAATTTAAGCTCCAAAATATAGAGGAATGGTGTATTTACCTTGTCTCAAAATTTCAGCTCAAAATATTGAGTTGTTTGGACGTGAACGTCAAAATTCCTTACCCGGACACGTAACCCTTTTAAGATTTTGGGTCAATTTTTTTGTTGGGTGACCTGGTAATCAACCCCGTTCCTTTAGAGGTCTCTACAATGAGTGACCCATGTGCTGTACTTGATAACGAAAGGTAAATTTCACCCACACATTATTTTTATAAAATAAAAGTCTGGTTTTATCCAGACTGCATAATACAGCTTGGGACACTGGTTTCCATTTCCAGATAAAGACTGGCGGGTTTAGGTTGCTTGAACGTATCACATATGTTGAGTTAGTTGCTCGGCCCTAAGGTAGAGAATTTTAAGGGATTTTAACACAAAATTAAGCAGTTTAATTCTCCAAAATATTATCGGGATTGACCCTTTAAAGAAGATATTTTAACAAAAATACATGCTATATCATATCCTTTACGGACCCTCTATACCGAAACCTAGATCCTGTTTTTTTTATACCAAACATACATTACAAATCCTTTATTTCAAAACATAGATCCTATTCTGTCACGTTTCTTTTTGTATAGATTTTTATAACATATCGGGTTCTATATGCAAGGACATGTTCACTGAATATACTCAAAGAACCGAAAATAAATTTAGACAGGTATATACATGTACAAAAAATGGTTTAGCCGAGACTTGTCTTTAGAAAAACTTTATACTGTTTTATCATGAATAGACTATAATTAACTTCGTTACTCAAACCAATATTTGTGATGTCTTTGAATCATTAAGACAGGTTAATTTACTACCGCGGGATTTGAAAGACCCCGATGTATAAAGTGTGTTATTTATGCAAGTCATGGATTCAATCCCCATGCTTATACTTCATACTGCGCAGGATCACCATTCTAATTTCATGGGTTTACTATGAAATTTATTGAAAAATGCAATCTTCTATATTACATCAAAGCTTGCTGGGTAAGTACGTCATGTGTACAATCCCTAGGCTGTACGCGTGGATGGATTTTCTCTGGGATTTATAAAATCAAAAAATATAATCTTCTTAAAACATTTGAATAATCCCTTTTGGTTTCCTGCTTTATCTATTATTTAAATATTTTATTGGGCTTATGTCATCTTCTTCGTGCTGTTGCTTCAAAAATGCACATTAACTGTTCAGAATCCGCTTAAACAGGAAACACGTGGTTTAATTATTACCTCCCATGAAGAAGATTTCCACTATCCGAATCTCAGGCTGACAACCATACCATTTTGCCCTGTCATATATTTAATAATATCCACCTTTTAAAGGGGATATATTACTATATGTGTGTAATCATTTTATTATATTGTCGCTTTTATATATAACTCTCTTTATTCCACATCGACACTTCAGTCAGATTTGAATATTTCTATATTCTGATGAGTTAATCGAATTGGATATTTGAGAGGAATTGCGACATTTATGATATTGATTACTACATTATTTTGGAATTAACTCTAATTTTCCTGTAATAAAAATCAAGTAAAATCAAACAAAATTAATCTTGTAACTAGACACAATATTTATGACGAAACTAAATGTTAGATTTATATTACATCGCATTCAAAATAACACCAAACTACTTAAAGCTTGTGTAACAGCATCAGTTTAATTGAGAAGTTGATTGATTAAACAACAAATCAAATGTCTGAATAATTAAAGCGTTCGATTGGCTGGATGAGCGGGGGTCCACCTAGTGGGGCAAACGACAGAAAAATAATACGGAACGAAATGTTCGTATATCATTAATTAGAATGAAATAAACACAAGACAGCTAATTGTTATATTTTAAACTAAACCATCTTATATGTTTTGCCCATATGGCATCACTGGGACGTACAGACCGTTATATGAGTTTTTATAAAACGTGCTGTCATCTGATTACCATATTGCGCACACAGTCTGGTGTGGAGTCGTAGTCATGGTTCCACTTATCGAAAATCGAATGCATTACAAAATATTATACGAATATATACGCAATGACATAGGTTAGGGTGGGGGTGGGTAGGGGGGGGGGTTGCTCTTCCCTAACTTGGTTACCAATGACGAATGACCCCCCCCCCCCCTTTGAAGTTAAATTATGCCCGAATAAATAATTTGGGTCGATAATGTTTGGAATTTAATTTGCAAATATACACCTGTTGGGACAGATGTTCATATAACTAACGAGTATTTGTTGTGTGACTCTATGATAACCTTCAAAGTAAATCAACGCCTTTATTTGACAAGTGACTTTTATTGAAGTTATGATAAAAGCTTTTCCTTGTTGAAATCAATTACAGTGAGGTCACGGTCTTCAATTAATCACAAGTTGGAAAAACCAATGAGTTAATGCTTCCCATTCGATAGTTGGTTTGAAATAGGCGCGCATTCAGTTTTGTAATCTTTGGAGGTTTTACAGTTTCTGCGCATATGTAGTATTTCAGAATATAGAGCTGTAGCTTACAGCTGTCCGAAATTACATTTTGGTTTCGAGGATTTGGTAATATGATATCACCACTACCCAATACACTTGTTGACGCCTAGGCATTAATCTCCCATTAATATCTTATTCCCACCCGAAATAGTGTACAGTACAAATGATGGAATTTTTATGTAGTTCGAAGTCCCAGAAAATAAGGGTTTGAATTATGTGCATATCGGAAGAGTAAGAGTAAGGCTATTGAAAATCGGTTATAATCCAACATCGGTCAGATCAGATTAAAATCAGAAAGTGTAGTTTTTATTTGAATTCGCTGCCCAGGCATCCTCATTTATGATATCTTTAGTTCGTTTTACAAAATTGATGAAATCAAATGTGTTTTGGAGATATTCTGTTGATATACATTCATCAATTCCCCTTTTTCGAGATTCAAGTCTGAATGACGAAAAACGAGTAGCACGTTTCGCCAATATATAAAAAAACCCCAAAAAAACCAAAACAAACAAACAAACAAACAAAAAAAACCCCAAGAAAATGTAGTTTTATGTGAATCTACTGCTCAGACATCCTCATTTATGATATCTTTAGTTCATTTTTGAAAACCGATTTCTTCAAATGTGTTTCAGGGGCGGATCCAAAGGGGGGTTTTGGGGGTCGACCCCCCTCCCACTGCTCAGCTACATAATTGTTTTTTTTGTAAATCAACACTTTTTATGAGAAAAGTTTCTGGGCCGTTTGCTTTGTCCTTTATCGTCAGATGTAGGACAGGATGGGCACTCAAAGCACGAGATAATGATATAGACATTCTGTTATATCACAATTAATGCTTTGCATCCATGAAATTGAATCACAATGTCATTGTATTAATTCATAATAAAAATTGACGTCAAACGAGGTGTTGAATTTCTCTGTTTGAAAAGCTCAATGTGTATGTATATATATACGCCAAAATGACGTAAGAGACCGTGCAGGAGGGAGGGGGGGGGATACATTGTCTCAGGAACCTTGCAAACCCCCTCCTGCAAAAATTCCTGGATCCACTCCCTGTGTTTTGGAGACATTCTGTAGAAAAAGTGGTAGCCAGAACGATGGATTGAGTAACTCAGGTTGAACCAGTCTAGAACATAATTAAACAAGTCAGATACTTCTAGGACATTTTTTTTTACAAAAATTTGAAGTAATATATATCTACCAAATATTCCTCAGTTCCTGCTAATGACATGAACTCTTCTGTATTTCCAGATAAGATGCGACTTGCACCAAAATCTGAAAGTTTATACACCGACCTGAAAATTTAATAATAATGAAGATTTGTAGAGCCTTCTAAATTATCTCTTCTAAATTTGTATGTTTAATGAATTCTGAAAAAAAAAGCAGTCACAACAACCGTTCAGCAAATTATTCAAAGCAATTAATTCTAAGGTACGTAATGTGTTTGTACGGAATGTGTTTGCTTTGTAACCGCGACGAACAACCACCTCAATACCTGGCTCTAAGTTCACAAAGCATTCTCAGACTTAAGTTAAGAATTTACTCAACTTGCAATCACTGTTTATGAGAACTATCTTTGATCCAGAAACACAAAACTTTGCACATAGTTTCTTATTGATGTATTTGATACATTAAAAAAACAAATGTTTTACAAAGGGCTGTAGTTTAGTTAAAATAAGGCGAACAATTTTGAGTAAATTCTTAACTTAAGTCTGAGAATGCTTTGTGAACTTGGGGCCAGGATTTTTAAACTTTATTCTTCCAAATTACGATCGTAACTTTTGGTATATTGTCTCTTTTAAGGGTTGCTTAGCTCAAGCTAGGTGTTTATATTTGTTTAAAATTCCGACCTCTTTGAACTGGTGAAAAGAAACTATTTAATTATTGTTGTCAGAAATAACCGTAAATACTTAAAAGGTAGGTGGGGTAGTGGGGCGGAGATTAAATAATAGATTACCGAAAGGTAATAGTGTTTTGGCCTGCTATTTCCATTATTTAAAAATAAATTATGCGAGATTAGATAAAGAGCTGATTAAATAATAGATTACCGAAAGGTAATAGTGTTTTGGCCTGCTATTTCCATTATTTAAAAATAAATTATGCGAGATTAGATAAAGAGCTGACAGTTCTCACTATAATGGTTAAAAACTAAATAATGTAAAGCGAATTTACTGAAAATTTCAGTCAAATTGATCCACTCTGAACCGAGATTTTAGCGATTGAATTTTCGGCCTAGCCTCGATCATTACTAAAGTAGGTACGATAAAAAACATAGTTTCGATTATCCATTTCATGATTAAATCAAGAATGAAAGTGGAGCAGCAAATGGTATCCTAATCCAGAAAACATCACAGGCTAGCATTGACATCGAGGGTTGATTATGGCCTGGATAAGTTAATTAATGTCTAATTAATAATTTAGATAACATTTCAAGCCTAAAGAAAGACCCGCATTAGGCAGATTTAGCTCTTGCATAATGTATGTTTAAACGACATCAATAGCAGCATACAGAAAAGGATAATGACATTTATGGGAAAATTATACATTAAAATTAATTCCAGGAAGTTCAATCTTATGGGCGACCAGTATATTAGAATATAACATGCGATCAAACATTTATTCAGAATGACTGCTATTGAAATAGCTTATGACAGGTCTGTTATGTACGAGACTTCTGTGGGTTTATAAACAGATCAGTGAATTTGCAGTTTACAATTACCAACTCAGAACACGCTACAGTGGATCTCAATGAGCCCAAAATAAACATAGTTTTATCCATAATGTAATTTAAATTTAATAAGCTTCTTGGTTTATCTAAAGCGATCTTTATATTTAAATTGAACTTTAACAATCTCGAGACAACAAATGAATGAGGAAGATAAAATAATTATTAAACAACAGGGAAGATAAACGTGGGGAATATTTAGGTAAATAACGGAGATACCACCCTTTAAAATACAAAATAGTTTTACTTCTTGTATAGAATATTCAATTCCTCGTATGACAAAGTGATATTTAAAGAATGTACGGCGCTTATTTAATCATGCTCAAAAAGCTACATTCACCAACAGAATCATCTGAAATTTGACCCCCCCCCCCCGACCACCAGTACTGGATTTAGATAAAAAGAGGCTATTCAACTTATGAGTACCTTCTCCCCTATCTTCACGACTAGAGAAAGATGAAAAAGGGTATTAAATACAATTGTGCAAAGACGAGGCTGATGACGGATGTTTAAGACTACAGTGTGAGTAAGAAAGGAGGCTTATGAGACAGTATCAAAAACAAATTAAACATCTTGGCGCCTTGGGCAAGCCTATAGGTAAATCAAAAACTGATACTCCCGATGTTACTTAGTACATGTATATATTATCAATGTCCAAAAAAGTTGATACATTACGTAGACGACATACTACCACCTAGCCTAAAGGGCATTTATATTCAAATAACATTTGACAAAAGTGAATTAGCTCGCAACACCTGCATCTACTGAAATAGCACAAACATTCGGTAACCAGAGAAATATAGAACCAATGTGATAGACTTAGTAATGATTAGCTGCGATATAAAGGTTGTACGCATTACAGCCCATTGTGACAAAGCGATGGAATGGGGACACGCTACCCGAACGTGAATTAAATGGGGTTTAGCGTCCTACCGATCTGCCCCGACTGAGCTAATGAAGACGGACATACGACATACAGTGTGCTACGAGAGAAATTCCAACTGTTAGGGGTTCTTTTTCGTACACGACTATACGTTGTCCCCTGCCAGGCCCTCCGTTCTGCACCACTGACAAGGGGGGAACCACGCTGGAAACTCCCGATGAATTTTGTCGGCCAACACCGTTATCAAACACGGTACCTCTGTGACACTATCCGGGACACGGATCTCCAGAAAACGGACTTTGAAACAATGGTGACACTTATCCAGTCAGGACTTCCACCTTGTGTATAAAACTTCAATGGTCAATTAACTCTTGAGCAGTGTTTTTTTTAATTTTTTTGATAAATATGCTTATATATCTTTATGACATCCATAATTCAAAGGTTTTATACAGGAAACTACACCTCTGTGTTTTGTGCAAAAGTTACACTTTTCTTTCTAAGTCTCCATGATGATCTCTATCACTGCCTTTAAGAATCCCGGACTCTCAACCGAGTCGGCTGTACGCCCCTCTAGGAACCCCAATGATGCTGGGAAACTTAATCCCGCTCTTTTTTATAAAGAGGATAAGTGCATGGCGCATGAGTCAAAGACTCACCCCTGGGAAATTGGCCAGGTACTTGCTTTATATAATATTTGATAGGTCAGAAAAACAGAAGCTGCCTTGGATTTAAACACCCTGTTCTAATATGAGCAAAAGAAGGAGGAGGGGCGGGTGAAGGGTGTCCACTTTTCTAAAGCATGGGATACCATACTTGGATTACTAGGTTATGATGTCATTGCCTAAATCTACCTTTCACCCATTTGTCTAACGACTTTGAATTTTGCGTATGCAAATCAAACGTTAACCTTTACATATATATACAGATGCGAGTATGACTTAAATCGGCGCCGCATTGGTACAAGTTGTTAAGGCGAATAATGGAGAGGAGGTTGAGCGACACAAATTAACGCATACTCAATGCATTTGGTCAACCATCGACAACGAGGCAGTGAATTGGACGGGACGCTTGCGCGGGTTGCTAGTTTCTAAAAGCTTGGAAGGCATACAAGAAGTTTCGTATTGCTCCAATGTTAAGACGGGTATAGTCTTAACGAAAGACAGGTACAAGTAAATTCCAGTACTAGGTCCGGTTAGTGTAGACGATTTGCTAATAGGTCTAGACTTACTAATGAGGAAAAACTGTTCACTGTTAATAACAGGTAATACTAATAGGTAAAGAACGTTAGTAACGTAATGGGCTCTAAAATTATTAATTACTCTAGGTGATAAGTAGTAATTAATAACGATAATTTATATTAAAGGGACAGACTAAGCTGTATAATGTTAATATTTATTCGGTTAAAAGTAAGTAGAATTAAGGACTAATACAGGTGTATTCACAATAAAGGAATAAAAGTTTAATTTTACATAAGAGTAAGGGTACGAAAAGGATTAAGATATACCAGTATGATACAAGAAGGTAGATAGTGATCTTGAGATGATCTGCTGTTTGATTATGGTTAAAACTGTAAACGTGATTAGTAACTGTTTTGTGTCTTGTTCTCCATCATGATCACAAAAAGAAACTGATAAGACCCGTTCTTTTGCAGGGGAAAACTCGACAATAGAATTATCGGGATACCAGAGGGAAATTTTAAAAAATAGAACTTACTTTCCTTCCTGCGTAATATTTCTGAGAATATTACCCGGCTTGATATCACGATGAATACAACCATGTTGACGTAGATGTTCTAAACCACTAGCTGAAATTATTTGTTGCATACAAGATATTGTCTTTAATAGAAAACAAACACACACTATTTTCATAGAAACTAAATTTTTAATAGACATCAGGTTTTAATTGTAGTCATGTAATACACAATTTGTGTTTAATACACATCAGTTACGTAATACACAATTGGTGTTTTAATTGACAACATATATTTAATAAACCATTGGTGTTTAATAGACAACATATATTTAATAATGAAATGAAATGGGGTTTAACAGCCTGGTATTCTGCACCAACTGGGTTAATGAAGACGGGCTTATACTCCACACAGTGTGCTATGGGAACAGCGACAATACAGTATACTATTTTTTCGAATTCTGCCAAGTGTTACTTTACGCGCATGACAATGTTTACACGGGGCTCCGGTCCTTCTTTCGATCTGAATTAATATACGCTGTCCCTTGCCAGGGCCAATGTCTGGCACCCTGACAGGGTGGAAGAAATCCAAGTTTCAATAAGTTAAAGAGAACCTTTAAAGTGAATTATTTATGAAAACTTTTAATTGATTACATTTTTGATTCATGTTTAACCGTTAAAATTTCCTTTAGAAATATATACTTTTATTGTCACGTTTATTATCACGTCTATCGTCTCTATTCAAATTACGTTTTATTAATTCATTTACCTTTTGTATATGTTTTATTATTGATATTCTCTATGTTATGTATCTCTGTAAATACGTCACATAGGAAATTTCCACGATATCAGTTCAGTAACTTATTAGTATTATTATTGCATTAATTACAAACCAGTGGTTTTATATATACATTATATATTATTAATTGTAGTGACACATTGTCACTTTCTATAACGCCGTTGTGTCATACTGAACTTTAGTTCTACATTTAAAGGACTACTAGCACGTGGGTGTATGATCTGAATGCGATTCATTGTAGTGTCATCCCTGTGGTTTTACGATTGCCCCTATTGAGTCCACGATCAGCTACGTGCATATACATTCGGATCCGTTTCCATACGATTAACACGATTGCTACGATTGACCTCAATATATAATAAGATCTGATAGAATCACCACGATTACTCCACGATTAAAACCACGATTTCAATGGTAGCACAAATCGTGATAGGATCACCACGATTAATCCACGATTAAAACCACGATTTCAATGGTAGCACAAATCGTGATAATCGGAATCTAGCATTAAATGACAAACGGTTAATATGTGATTTATGAAACCACATTGTTGGGCGCCATATTTCAATTTTATTTCACAACAATACGACGAAAGGAGTAGTCATAGATTTCCCACGGGATATGTTGATAAGTGTGGTTTGAAGTATGGGAATGAAACATCAAAATGTGAAGAAATAGGTCAATTAATATCTTAAAGAATTTCTATACAGAACATTGAATGGGTCAGAAATATGCGTAATCGGTCAGGTACAGAGATGAATATACTTGTCACTTATTTTGAAAAAATAATTAAATAACAAGCGTGCAAATATTCATACGCCGGTCATGACGTTGGAATTTTGACCAAATTTAAAGACAGCATTCCAATGAAAAAATACAACACAGTTGGACTAGTAGAAGGGATCTTAAGAACCTTTCACTTAGAAATAATTAAAGCTAAAATATTATCAGAGACTGCATTTTTTTTAAGACTAGCCCGTACATAAATGTTTTGTCCCAATATAAACAAATAGGTAGGCGTAGAAGGTATGCTATCTCTATGGTGCAGCTGTTCTACATGTAATAATAGTGTACAAAGATTATAAAGAATATCTTTGTTACGAAAATGGGAATGGCAGCAACATGACAATTGTACATTGTCGTCTGCAGTTAATGTCGAGTTCATTTCCTGTGTGGTATGATTAGAAAGTAGTATATGGTATGTTTTAGTTATATTTCAGATTTCGTACTCTCTATTACAGAGAAATATCACTATAAGAATACATTTTATATCTATTAAACCGCATATAAACAAAACAAGACGGGTATACTACCCCCACCCCCACCCAGACCCGGACACACACACTCACCCTACATATTCATCCACCATTTAAACCTAATTATGAGTTCTAACTTGAAAACATCCCCCTCTAATCACATTAATTGTAACTTCTACGATCAAAACTCTTACGTTAAATTGCTAATAATATAGAAATACGAACTGAACGCCATTATATGGTTGTTCTCAAGTAGGAAACTCGTAATTAAGGTATAAATACGATATCGCTAGAACGAAATAAAAATCGTTTCCCACGCGGAAAATATACTGATTTCTATGATCATTTGCAACATGTGTACGAAAATGACACAAAGCATTGTAATTTCCTAATGCAGTGTAATGCATCATTCTACACGTAGTAATTTTATTCTCAACAGAAGACAATTAGATTAGTCAGGGGTTAACTTTTATGAATCATTTCGACATAAAAAGGGCTTTATGCGAGGTATGCAGAACAATTAGTCACTGTTGTCCCATGTCAATGTAAAGTCCAAGCTTAAACAGTAAAATCCATTCGTAAGCATTAAAGTCAACATCTGTACCAAGCCAACAGCGGAGTTAGTTTCCGGAATGTCTTGAACTATAAGTTCCCATGAGATTGTTCATTATGTTAGTTCTTTCCTGGGGTAAATATCACATGCTATTCTACATTTGGAGACTTTGGCACTCTATTAGGTAACGAGCGCAGCGATGTCAAGACCATTTTGGAAACACCGACATCCTCTCTTTTGACCACGAAGAAGTTGCATTAAAAGAGCAATTTCCACCCCCTTTGACAAGTACGTCGTGGATTTCATTTTCAACAACTTTCATTTTTCATAAACGTGGGCTTTCGAATTTCGATATCCTTTGTATTAGAATGTGAATAAGTACCACCCAGTCAACATACCATCCAAACATGACGATAGACCTAAAGTGAGAATACAGAACTTTTCATTTACAATTCAGTGGTTGTTTTTAACCACCCACGTCTATAATTGGGCGAATGAACGCTCGAACAATTCGGATATCATTGATTCTTTTCGTGCAGAGTAAACAACTGATTAGATTGAAGTTTACTGAACAACAAGTTTCATATACATTGTTAACCATTGACCATATACAATAATCTGAGTTAGTTCTTTTATGTTTAATCTATATTGTACATTCATGTGAGTTGCTTAGTTTTATTTGCGTCATTGAAGCTACACGTATATATTATTTAAAGATCCATTATATATTTATTTCAATAATTTTTTTTGTACCCGTCCTTATAATAAAAGTGGGAAGAAACCTGAATAGCAAGATAAACACACTCTTACGTCATACATGTACAAATGTTAATATATGGGTTTCGTTATTTGCTTTATGTGTTCACCTTGTAATGTCACGTATCTTTTCATGACATAAGTGTATTTTTATTTTTCTCGATTTGGCTTTTAATGACAGTTATTATACAATTCATTCAAGGTACGAAGAAAAAATTCAAATTCATTCTTCTGACCTTCAAAGTTCATGTACTAATAAGTAACACCTTATTGATGATTCGATGATGATCGTAAATAGGTGCTCTTCCCATGATGATGTTAGTTGTCGTGATCGAGCACGAGACTGTGTACTTACTTTTCGTCATTAGGGTTTCACACTGCGTAGCTTGTGTGAAACACTATTGTTTTTGTTAAAATTATTCTTATTATTATTCGTCTTATTATTAATATTTTTTTTTTCCAATTTGCTTATATCTCAGCAACTTCTTGTCGGATCGATACAATGTCTTCAGTTTCACTGGGAAAGTGGGTGTGACTTAGAGATTAAAGCTATTCACGGCATTCTGCGACATTGCGAAATGTCCGAAATCACCGAAAATGTCGTTTTTTGAAATATTGCCGTAATATTAACAATAATCATTGGATTTTAGCATATGATGCATTTTGACATAGCCAGAAACTGGGGACATAGCTATGTTACTTTTGATTTTTGATTTTCGACAAATCTTGGAAGATATTAGGCGCCAAATTTTGAAAATATGAGCAGTTGCCGAGAAATGGGCAATTTTGCATGAGTCACTTTTTACGCTAGTTTGCCTGTAAAAGAGTCAATCATTACTGGATTTTCATAAAAGTTACACCATTTGGTGCGTAATGTCAATTTTAACTAGGTCAAACCAATTCAACATTACCAATATCACCGGAAATTACGTAATTTGGGCAAAAACCGTATTTATAGCCTTCGAAACAAATAATTTATTCAAATGAGTTGTATTTGTTATTCGTTTAAAAAATTGATATTTGATTCCAATCAACTAATAGAATAAACCCATACGATCATATAGATATCACAAATTCCTTTCTAACTTGGTCAGTTGCGGAGAAATAGACGATTTTGAACAGGTCACTTTTCAAGGTTTTTGGACCATACAACTGTCAATTATTATTTGATTTTCATAAAATTTTCACTGTTTGATACCTTTTACCAATTATGATTTCATACAAGTAATTTCAGATTTTCATTATCACCGGAAGTAACGTCAATTTGGCAAAAACTGTATTTGTAGCCTTCAAAACAGATATTTTGGTCAAATGAGTCTGATTTGTAATGTTTTTACAATTATGATTTTTGATTCCGCTCAACAAATATATTGAACACATATGATCATACATATATTGCAAAATGGTTTCTAACTTGTACGGTTGTAGAGAAATAGACGATTTTCTACAAGTCACTTTTCAAGGTTTTGGGTCTTTGCCATTTCTGATTTTAAAAAACTAATTTATCTTTATCATTACCACTGCATATAATGTAATTTCGTCAGGATCACTAAATGTATAAAATGAATTGATTACCAAAAGATGTTGGTTCCTGTGGTAATTAGCTCATATCAGATTGTTACTTCCTGAATTATATTATTGTATGAAAAAACTTTCTTGTTTAACTTTCTTCTCTATCCATCTCTTTAGGAAACACTATTGTTTTTGTTAAAATTATTCTTATTATTATTAAGCTTTCATATTACATATGA